TTCTACTTCTTCTTCTTGCTCCTCTTCTACTTCTTGCTCTTCTACTTCTTCTTCTTGCTCCTCTTCTACTTCTTGCTCTTCTACTTCTTCTTCTTGCTCCTCTTCTTCTTGTGATGCCTCGCTTTCTCTTCTGGTTCTTCACCTTCATGCTTTCCCGCTGATCTTTGTTTCGGCTCTTTCTCGTTCATGCGTTAGCAATCTATACGTAAGAGTGGTTACCCCATGATTCACACATAGGCCTAATGCTGAGAAGTGCAAGGTTGTGCTTATCATTGTCCAGAGAACGCGCGTACCTATGTCTTCTAACTCGGTCGGGCTATCTTCTCTGCTCTGTGACATGTCGAGAACTCGAAATCCACGATATAAAACTATCTGCTACCGCTGCCACTGCATGGCTCTTATAGCATGTTCAAGCTTTCGAGCTGAACACCCATGGTTCCTGCTGTTTTGTGATGGAATGTACCTTCTTGGAGATTATGGGCAAGTCAGGCCATTGTCGACCTTATTCAATCATGCAAGCGAACCACACAACCACACAAACGTACAACCACACAGCACACAACCACAGCACATACCCATGTACTGTAAACGATATAAACACACAATCAAGAGACACAACTCTAGCCCCAATGTAATGAAGTATGTACCGAACAAATTTACATTATCCAGCAGATTGGCACACCCACCAGCAGCCATGCTATCATCTCAAGATCCTGCTCTGCAACGAGATATCGATCGGTTATTTCAAACGTTGCACCGTCGAGACCTTTCTGCTCGACGCTACCAACGAAATCTACAAAATGCAATTCGACGGTGCCAACACCCTGGACAAACAAGAGCTTACATCATCAACATATGGACTCAGATCGCAAGCATCTCTCTTGAATCCTTCATATTGTTTGTCTTCTCGTTTGGCTACGACACCATGCTCCGGCGCACCAACAACATACCACACCTGATAGCCCAACTAAAACAAAAAGAAATACAAGACCTTGTTCAACAAAACAAAGCTTTAGCTCGTCAAGCGGTCCAGCTCAGACAACAAGGTAAGCTCCAAGCCACATGGAAAGCAGAACTGTACTGACAAGAAAACAAGGATTTAAGTTGCCGCCATTGATTATAGTAGACGACACAAGCACAGCGGAGCACACTCAAAATGAGCCTCACAATTTCGAGAAAAGATCGGCGTCCGCAACCTTGAAGCGGTTGCATGACAACCCGGCATTCCGTTCGCATCTTCCATCTTCACTAGACGAATGTCATCTTTCGCTGGTATCGTCACCGAGTCCACAAACTCGTTAGATCTGCGCACGGGAAGTAATCCGGCTGCCTCGAATTGTTCCCGCAGGTGAGTGCTGAAAATTTTGTCGAGCATCTTGTAGGTGCAGAGGAGTGATTTCAATAACTTGAACCATTAATCCCTTTTCTGCTATACGCATAGCTACATACCCTGACCCCGCGCCTGCGTCGAGAACTCGCGGACCGGAGCTCAGACCGAGCTTTGTGTATACTAGATCTTCCATAGGCCGGGAAAATGCCGCGACGACGCGAAAGCCGAGCACGACTGGGAAACGCTCAGAAGGGCTTTTCCCTCGTGGAGAGGTGCCCTAATTCAGGGCCATATGTGCAGACTCTTGCTGGTCGATGGCAATTCGTACGGACTGATGCCCATCGAGGACAGTATGATGCACCTCTACCTACGCGTACCCACAGCATTATGTCGTTTCGGACAGCAGCAGGGCAGCAAGAAGCAGTGCTACATGTACGAGCGACTGAGGTCGCCGAAGTGGTTGGAGGAGGAACTGGTTGAGCAGGGCCGAGGCACATGTCCTGACGTTATGCAGCACTGCATCGACTTGTGCGGCCTCGGCTTCAACCAGTTCCTAACCAGTCTGAAGGGGCTGTAAAGACGGCACATACCCAGCAGACCAAAGCGCAAACTGTGGTTGGCCAGCAAAATGCAGCACTGGTTAGTGATTCAAATTCAACGCTTCTTGTCGGAAGTGACAACAGGGCGGAAGAGAGCATCCTCGGAAATATACCAGGTAAAACTGGTTGTGGGGTGGTAGTGGGGTAACCTTCCGCGGAATGATCTTTGGCTGAGGCGGTTCCTTGATTTCCGGTACCCCATATTTACTGTACCACTTCCTCAAGATATTTCCCTTTGAATTGTCTCATTCCAACACCTTTTTTTGAGCCTCGAGATTGATATTTGCCTGACCGAGTTATGGCAGCTGCAGCTGTCGCCCCTGGCATCGTCCCTCTATGCAAGAATGATACCTACGGTACCGTGGCACCACAGGACCAACATCCCAGCAAAGAGCAAGATAGCAAAGTAAAAAAATATTCAAATGAATTCTGCAATCACTTTGAGCTCCAGTCGCCATGGGATCAAATCTATCATCAAATCGACACTGCACCTGTTAGACGCCTCGAATGCGAAATGGATGATTTGGTCGTTTTCGGCACTATCCCTGAAACCATTGATGGAACTTGGTACCGTGTACACCCTGATTCAAATACACTACCGCCAATCAACAACCCATTTGTGGATGGAGATGGCCTCGTTAGCGCCTTTCGTTTCATTAAAGGGCGGGTTTCAATGAAGTTCAGGTATGTCGAAACAGAGCGGTATTTGCTAGAGCGCAAAGCACGCAGGCAGCTTTTTGGACGCTATCGGAATCCTTTCGATAATCATCCCTGTGTGCGTCTCGCCAATGACACAACAGCAAACACGAACGTTGTCTATTGGGGTGGAGACCTTCTAGCGATCTCAGAGAGGGGCCTTCCTTACGCAGTCAATCCAGACACACTCGAGACAACGAGTCATGATCCCTATGGGGGTCAAATTGCGGCCAGGACTTTCACTGCTCATCCCAAAGTCGACCCTCTCAGAGATGTGCTTGTGACGTGGTCCTACGCAGCAAAGGGATTGCGTAGCCGTGACATATGCACGTACGCAATTGACCAAAGCGGTAAGACAACGGACGAATTCTGGTTCAAAGTAGATAAACCGGGTTGGCCTCATGATGGATGGATTACTGAAAACTGGATCATATTGGCTAATATGCCTTTTACGGTTCAGTCGGATGGCGACATGAAGCAACCTGGGGCAGACCATTGGATCTATGTACCCGGGCAGGCTCAAGAATTCTTGGTAGCACCACGTCATCCTGATACTCCACGAGCACCTGGCTGGAAGCAAGGAGAGTTTCGCAAGTACACGACTGACCACGGCTTAATCGTACATACGGGTGGTGCCTGGGAGGAGGCTGACGGAAAATTGGTTCTTGAAAGTCACTGGGACACTTACAATCTTTTCTATTTCTGGAATCCTGACGATTTTAAGCCGCCCGAGCAGCCGACTGGCGACTGGGTACGCTGGACAATCGATTTGGGGCAGCCAGATGGTACGAAGCTCCCGCCACCAAAAATTCTATACTCTGGCCTAACGGAGTTTCCAAGTGTGGACGAGCGGTTTTTATCACGAAAAACTAAAATCGTCTTCTTTGCGACTATTCCACCTGAGGATTTCATGCGCATCGACGGCATCGTCAAACTCAATACAGAGACGATGGAGTCTGAAAAATTCCTTGCAGCAGAGAATGGGAGCTTTGCCGAGCCGGTCTTCATTCCTCGCTCGAATGATGCTCCTGAGGGTGATGGCTGGGTCCTTTTCTACAGTACTAGACCCACGTCCACGAAAGGAGAGCTCATCTTGCTTGATACGGCGGACTTCTCCCGTCCCGTCGCTATCATTCAGCTTCCCTTTGCGTCAAGCTTCCAAGTCCACGGAAATTGGGTACCAAATCCTCGTCCAGGTCAGCCACTGCCACCACTTGGCAAGCCAGTCAAGGATGTAAGACCCAGTGTGAAGTATAGTCCCCTGGCCAAATTTCAGTAGTATCGTATCTCAAAGTACACTTTTTGTGGTCTTTACTCTATTGAGAATCGGTCACTTATGCAGTAGCATCGTTTGGGAGCTCTTTTGTGATATTAGCATTCGGATGACAAGGTGTAAGTCATGCACGAGGATAGTTAGAGGACTCCTGAGATGACGAGTAGGCTCTACATTTGAGAGTTTCACTCCTCTACTCAGTTCGCAACCTTACTATTACATCGACTTTCGTGATCTCTGCTAATTTCCAGCCAGGTGCATGTGAGTGTCGAACTACGATCTAAGAGCTATGTGTGGCATTTTGTTTGCATGATTGTTTGTCAAGCTTGCTGACAATGCACCAGAACTTCAGCCGTGAGAATTGAGCTGAAGCTGGAACTAATTCACGTCAGATCAAGCTGCTTCTCCACTGTTTCTTCACGAGCGTAAAGAGCAATAAATACTTTCAATATGATATCAGTCGTCTTGAACCGCGGTCACATCTCTAGACAGGGTTGTCGTTAAGACTCGGTGACTCCCCCCACCGAACGGCTACTATGCTTTAGGACCATGGGCGCACTACAAGCATGAATTGCATATAGTCACATGGGTTAAAAGTCTGAGGGATTATACTTTGGCACCACTCGCTTTGGCGCCACATCTAGGAAGCACTCCAATATACGTTGGTTCTTCTGGCTCCCATTACCCATGATTTCCAGCTTTCGTGCGCTCAAGATCTACTCGCATGGGTATGATTGGAAACAAGACCTGTAATGCGTCAGACCCTCCAGATATAAACTCCTTCATGAAAATGGTAGTCTCACATAATTCTCTGTGATTGCCATGTCGTGCTGAAAGCCACAGACCGAGACTTGGGTCCAGAGCCTTTCGGTTACGCGACCGTGTTGATCAAGGACCCATAAAGGACATCTATTTCAGCTTCACCCTTCGCTTCATATCCAAAATGTATGAGCTCTCGGTCTCTGCTAGCGCGGCCAGGAGAGTAATCCGCGTAATCCAACTCCGACTCCAAGTCCAGAGGTGAACTATTCCTAGATAGGCACCTACTAGACCTAAAACAACATAGGTTATGTGCATTAGTTTCTAAACAGTCCTAGCCCTATAATATAAAATTGCTTAGTCACAAGTTAGATACTTTGATAGGAAAGTATAGCGAGCATGCCTTTCATATTAAGGAAGTATAGCGCATATCCTCTCAGTGTTAGGTTTGATAACCGAGACGCAAAACCTAATAGGCCACAAAAGAGACGACTTTGGCAAAATGAGAGGGACTCGACTCCAGGAGTCGACTCCGACTCCGATTCCGACTCCTTTGGACTACTTAACAGGCCGCGCTGGTGCGGATCATGGAATTCATTTGTTCAGGGGGACCTCTGTGTTGATGGTGCTCCGTGGTTGGCGTCCTACGAAATGAACTCTGATATCGCCTTGATTTAGCAGCCCTTTCTCACCACTACCCCGTCTGGTGCCACTTCAGTGGTTGTGTGGGCTGTTTGTGGTTGCTTGTTTCACGGACTGCACGAGAGTCGTGTGTTGACACCTGAGCATGCCAT